GAGGGTGTGGCCCTTCATTTGAACAAACTTGAATCCCCTTCATCCAAGGATACTTTGTGGCAAGTTTGGTTGAAATTGTCCCAGTAATTCTGGAGAAGAAGATGAAAATGTGAAAAGTTTACGACAACAACGCCAACACCAACGCCAACAACAATGACAACAATTTGTTAATTGTTTCAACTCAAATTGTAAATAAACTATATACAGGGTGTCATAGAACATAGAAACTGATTATTAAATGCATATACAATGTATAAGCAAGGATAAATATAAGGATTTATTGTGAAATGGATTCCACGGTGCTGGATTTTGTAAAAAATGTCGTTTTCACTGGTTATTGAAATAATAACTTCCAGGATATCAACAATCTAGTACGTACATGATCCAGCACAGACGTGCCCCCCCCCCCCCCCCGGTTAGATTTTTTTTTCTTGTGTGCATTTTGTTTGCTTAACCTGTTTATAAGTTAGTAGTCTCAATTTATCTACATGTAACGTTCAGGCACGTATGTTCAGAGCTGATTCGAATTGGAAAAATGTTTCATGTCGAAAAAATCTTAACCTACCCCCAACATGGGTAAATAGTAAATTTTTACTTGAAATTTCACTACCACGATGAACATAATGATACTTTTCCCACGTCAACCTTTTCCTTTTTTCCTTTTTTAATTTTTGTCATCTTGAAAATAAACACTGAATTAATTATCAACAGAATGAATGTAGAACTATTTTGCTTAATTTCTACTATATGTGTGATTCAGGAACTATAATATTTCATGTAATCAAAGCTCTTATTTAATAGACCCCCCCCCCAATAAAACATGTAAAAAGTATCAACTGTACTGTCTGCTTTCTTTCCCCCAAATGACAAAATGAAATAAAATTGCTTTCTGTTTGTTGTGAACAAAGGGTCATCTACTTTCAGGGATAACTTAAGTTCACAATATTAAATTGAGGTATTCTTAACATTATATTAGACCTAGATAAAGTAATTGAATACAATATTATCAATGTAAGTAAACAACAGTGATTTCTGTTCACTAACACTTGATTGTCTTTGAACAATTTTCCTGGGGAAATAAGGCAAGCACTTTATCCTTGAAATGAACTAGATTAGCTCATAATGTACACCTTTATACGTGTATGATAAAATGTTCTCAAAGTCTAAAAAATGTTTATCCTTGGTATTAAGAACTTCCTTAAAATACGCTTGCATAGGTTGTCGTCACAAAGATATCGATTACTTAGAGGAAGCAGTAAGGGATCCGCATGGGGGGGGGGGGGGTATCCGGACCCCATCCCAACACCCACCACTTGTATAAAATTCATATAGTAAAATACCAAAAAATTGAAGGGGTAAGGGCAAAGAAAACTGTGTAAAGTTTGTAAGATATGGAGGAAGGTAAAGTGACATCCTCCTTTCAAAATAGGTTTTTCAAGTTTGGGTTATTTTTTTTTATTTAAATAAGGTTTTCTCCTTTGGTTCGATCCTTTTTTTTTGAGGGGGGGGGGGTTGGTATGGAACACCTCACTCCCTTTTCTGGGAAAAATTACAGGGAAATTCCTCAATTGCGCTGTTACATTTTTCCGCGAGTCGACATTTCTTTTCCGCGAAAAATCCCTCTTTACCGTGAAGTACTATACTATTTTTTTCTTTTCCGCGCAATTCTCTATTAACCAGTTAGTATTAAAATTGCTAGAAGAGTATGTAACTTTCTGAAAAAATGCTTTAGTATTAGAAAAGAAAAAACTTCAACATAACTGATATGCTTACTGGAATAATTTTATTGATTTTATGTATGTTTTTGTTTATTGTATTCATGACTATATGCCAATGTATGATGGTGTTGTCAATAAGTAAATTGAATTGAATTGAATTAAGCAGTTGGTACCTTTTGCTCCTTGTCTACCACGGGGATGAATTAATGTAAATTAAAGTCCCTGGAACATCGTTAAAAAGACCCAATAGATTGTAGATCATCTATGCATTGACCTTAACATCTTCACAATGTCAAGGTATTGTGAAATTGTTCCTATTTAAAAAGATTGTGAAGAGAAACGATATCACAAAACCTTGACATTGTGAAGATGTGTTGGTTAACACGCGTATAAAACATCCTTAAAACATGCCCTCTGTTCAATAACCCGTAGATCCTTATATATTCACGTGTCGGAACAAGCTGCATTATTGAAAAAAAAAATGATAAATTAATAGCTGATAACTTCGCTGTGGAATGTTTCCGAAACTGCCGAAGGAAAAGAATAAAACGAAGGTTCGCATGCATGGATGGGCTCTGCCTCTAGATCTGGACAGCGCAAATAAAATATTATAATAGGTAGACACAGGTAAACTTATGTAAATCAAGCCACAGAAAAGCAATGTCAAGTACTTGCGGAGAAGTAAACTTTTTTTTTTGAAAATATAATGCAGAGAGACTGGATCTTGCGACCCATACATACGTAGTATTACACACAAAATCATTTTCTTGAACATCTGCAATCAAAATCAAAATCAAAGAAAAAGTTTAACGGTCCTATACGTCTTTTTTTTTACAAAGCTTGGCAATAACGTTTCGTCAAGTTAACAAACAAAGCCAATAACTTTGCTTGTGCCAGTGCGAAAAGTGAGAACTCTGCTTAGAATGTACTGTACATGTACACCCCTTTGTTTTCCTTATGATTCAAAAATTTTAAAAGCCAACCATACCAAATGCTATAAAGATTTGTCTTTAATAATGAAAAATAATTTAGTAAGCATGGTATGCTATCATATGTTTACCGATACATTGAATTGTACGTTTATGAAAATGAGATTTAACAAATTTACATAATAAAATATACATATAAGCTGGATTTATTTTTAAAACATGACGTTCAATTCTTGTTCATGACGTCGCATAACGCAACGTCAAAATATCGCAACGCTAACGTAAACTATGCTACCTTTACTTTTACATAAAACATGAATAAAGCTTTGTACATGCATACATTGATAATTTCAGGAAAATATATACTCTCTCAAAGAGTTCTGAGGAATATTATTTAATTTTGACACGGGGCCGAATTTTGCACCAAACGCACCTTGTCCTTTGTATGAAATAAAACTGATAGAATTAAACAGAATGCAGTGGTTCGTCATGTCAAGGGTTACAGAGTAACTAACGTTTAATATTAGATATTTATTTTCCAGCTCCTTTATATCTTTCAAAAACTGATTGTTGTTTAGTAATAATATTCGGTTTTTAAAGTAAATGTAATATGCATAACATATTTCAAAGCAAGTGTCGAATGTAAATGTAAATGTCCTTTTTCTGCATTGTCGTAAAATTCCTGTATAAACAAAGTATTTCATTGTTTAAATTTGAGAGCTCAATGATTTTTCCCTGTATATATATAACCAACTACTTAAATTTTTACTGTCTTCTAATCTCCAAATTTGTATCGCTTTTTTGGACATTCGAGATTGAATACTGTTCCTTATCTTCATATTTCATACATTAATAATTTTTTTCAATTACTTTAATTAAAATGTACAATTGATTTTTACAAATGTGAATTATTCATCTCAATTACTTTGAAGAATGTAATTCAATATATTTCAGTTATTTCAGTTTGATTTTACAAATTCTTGAAGAACAAATATTTTAAATTTTTACTTTTTGTAAATTTTAGGTAGGCTAGGGATATAGCTAAAATAAATAACATCAGGTGCCTGTGTTTGTGTGTTTTATCAACACAAGACCTATCTTTATTTAAGATGTTTCGTAAAAGAAGGAAACAGGATAAATTCTTTCCATTGAAGAATGTAATTCAATATATTTCAGTTATTTCAGTTTGATTTTACAAATTCTTGAAGAACAAATATTTTAAATTTTTACTTTTTGTAAATTTTAGGTAGGCTAGGGATATAGCTAAAATAAATAACATCAGGTGCCTGTGTTTGTGTGTTTTATCAACACAAGACCTATCTTTATTTAAGATGTTTCGTAAAAGAAGGAAACAGGATAAATTCTTTCCATTGAAGAATGTAATTCAATATATTTCAGTTATTTCAGTTTGATTTTACAAATTCTTGAAGAACAAATATTTTAAATTTTTACTTTTTGTAAATTTTAGGTAGGCTAGGGATATAGCTAAAATAAATAACATCAGGTGCCTGTGTTTGTGTGTTTTATCAACACAAGACCTATCTTTATTTAAGATGTTTCGTAAAAGAAGGAAACAGGATAAATTCTTTCCAATTATTTTTCCATTTTTATTGATTTTTTTTTTATTTGAATGTTTTAATTGTTTTAGTTATAAGCATGTTGATAGAAACATGCAGCTAAAATAAGCAGTCATTACTTTCAAAAATATGATTATTAGACAATTTCGATACTCTCAAATTGAAAATCTTTTTACTACATAGTTTGACAACACCTCTTCCCCCCACCCCCATTCTTTCTGAATGCCAACAAAATCTAATCAGGAAGATACTAATGTCCAGTTATCTTTATTAACATAAACAAAACATCGTAAAATTAATTGATTGAATGTTGAACGTTCATTTCGAGAACATTTCACTATTATAAGGATGACACCCGCATTAGGCGAAGTGCCACAAATATTGACCAATGCATGGTTATTACGGCCGAAGCAGCGAAGGATCTCCATCGTACTAACACCTCCCGTGAGAGCGAACCTCGGATTTTAAGGTTTAATCTAAGGACCCCTGAATTACACTCACTTTCACTTTGCTCTAAAATTTGTATTGTTTAATGGACTTTTGAGCTCGAATACTGTTCGTTATCTCTACATATTTCATTTCACTTCTAGTGACTGACGCTTGGCGAAGGAATAGACTACCTATGTTAAATGTCTCCGGTTAACGCGAATCGAACCCCCAATCAATTTGATTTGAATCCTACCTAAAGTGCAGTTTTATAATAAACATCTTATATCTTACCTTTGCAGTTTTATAATAATCACCTATAGAAATGTGTTAAGCATCTTATGTGTTACCTTTTAAAACAGGCACACAGTTACCCCGAAGACAGATTGCATCCTCGGTACAGGCATGCTTTGGACAATCGGCCGCCAGGTGCTGAAAGTCAATCAACTTGGAGTGATAACTCGTTTATTTGATCGAAATGCCTCTACGTGTAATCGAAATACTTCAATATTTGTTTCTTAATGTCCGATACATTGCTTACCTTCGGAAAACTTTCTCGGTCAACATGAATGGTGCGACCTTCGGTCATTACTCCACTGATATTTTTGATCGTAAATCTAGTGTTTAGCCGGCATAACTTTTTTTCGCGTATCCAGTCCACTGAACGGCACAACTCAAACTTGTTACAAACCATCATGCACCTTCCCATTTCACCACTGGTCAAAAGGTTAAAACCAGGTACTGAGGAATTTTCGTAATCGCTAATGATTAAAATTTTGGGGTCAAAGCACTGAGAGTAGCATGTCTGTAAAAGAGTTAGGGTTTGTCCAATGAGGTAAACACTGATCACCTTAGGACCTGCCGCTAATTCCATTTCAAGTTTTTTTTTTGTTTTTTGTTTTTTTTTTGCAACGACTTAGCGGTCAGATTTCATTGTCGATGGGTGTTACGAGAATACAGAAACTGTTTGAGTTTTCTACACTCCTTTAACATATATACTTATTGCCCAGGTCTGTTAATTTATGATTGATGAGGCGTCACGTGATAGATCATTTGTTATTAAATGAATCGTTACGTGTGCAGAGTATTATTGTCGATTTTAAATCTTATAGTTGTTTATATTTGAAACTTCTGTCTCATTTCAAATAGTAATAATAATGAATACTCTCAAGACCGTATCGCCATTAAATATGATACGAATATGTAAAAAAAGTTGAAGATTGGACCTCTATATATGTTTATATATCTGACTGATGTATTGAACTAGACTGATGTTATATCTGTAATTGACCAAAGTAGATGTGTACTGGAAAGGTTTAATGCTTTTGTAATGCTAAGTAAATTCATTTTACCTCTAAGACTAAACTTTACAACATGGATTTCACAAACAATTTATTATGATTTTTATCTCACCTGAGCTGAAAGCTCAAGTGAGCTTTTCTGAACACTTGTTGTCCGTCTTCCGTCCGTCTGACTTTTTACTTTTTAAATTTTCAACTTCTTCTCAAGAACAACTGTGGTAATTTTTATCGAAGACGGTACACCCTTTGGCATACTTGGGTAAAGGAGAGTTTAAATTATTAAATTGAAGTGCCAAGTCCCCTTACAAGGGGAGATAATTAAAAAAGAAAAAAAGTGGTCTCATTAAAAATCTCTTTCTCAAGAAACACTGGACCAGAAAAGCTGAAACTTATCTAAAAGCTTTCTTGGGTAGTGTAGATTCTATATTGTTCAAATCATGGCCCTGGGGTAGGGGGTAAGGGTGGGGCCACAATAGGGAATCAATGCTTTACATTAAAATATATAGTAAAATCTGCAAAAATCTTCTCAAGAACCACTTGGCCAGAAAACTTAAACCTATGTGAAAACATCTTTGCGTATTAAAGATTGTTAATTGATCAAATCATGTTTTACATTGAAATATATAAAAAGATATCTTTAAAAATTTTCACAAAATTTTACTAAAATCAAAAGCAACAAAACGTACGACTTTTCAACACTTTCTACAACCATTCCCCACGATAAATTGAAGTCCAGGCTTTTTGACATCATGGACAGCTGTTTTTTCAATAAAAATTTAACTCGTAAATATATTTACTTTGTCATTGGTCATTTACAAAATTATTTTGTTAAAAAGCACTCTGATTGTACACACAAGTACTCTGAAGTTGATATTAAAAAGATGCTTGAGTTTCTAATTGACAAATATCTATGTAGTTTTTGGAGATCAGGTCTTCCAACAATCTCTCGGAATTCACATGAGTACAAAGTGCGTCCCGTTATTAACAGACCTATTTTTGTATTCATATGAAGTAAAATTTATTCAAAAACTCTACATGAGAAGAAAAAAACACGTGCTGTGACCTACTCGAGATTTCGATATATCGACGACGTATTATCAATTAACAATAGTTTCTTTCATTCATATGTCGACACGATATATCCCAGTGAGCTTGAAATAAAAAAGATACTATAGGGTCTGACACATATGCTTCAAATTTAAATATTTTTGCTAGAAAAAGACGTTAATGGTAACCTAAGAACAAAGCTTTATGATAAACGTGATGACTTCAATTTCTCAATCTTCAACTTCTCTTACTTATCTAGAAATATACTTTTATCACCTGAATATGGAGTTTAAGTTTCTCAGTTGATTCGATACGCAAGAGCATGCTCTACGTATGTACAATTTCTAAAACGAGGCAAGCTATGGACAAACAAATTGATGAAACAAGTATATCAAAGTCTCGTTTCAAGCAATCTTTTAGCAAGTTTTACGGTCGATACAATGACCTTGTCAGCACATACAACCTATCATTGAGTCAAATGTTGACTGACGTTTTTCATACTAATTGTTAGGCCATTATTTACACACTGAACTGTCTTTAGATTTTTCCGTTATTCCCCGATCATAACAAGAAGCACATGGCGGGTGTGACCGGTCGGCAGGGGATGCTCACTCCCTCCATGGCACCTGATCCCCAGACCTCTGATGTCTTAGAGGTCCGTGTTTGCTCTGCTCCAAATTTGTACTGTTTCATTGGACTTTAGAGATTGAATTCTGTTCGTTATCTTCACATTTCATTTTCTAAAGACTGGACCAGAAAAACTGAAACTTGTGACAAAGCATCCTTTTGAAGTATAGATTCTACATTGTTGAAATCATGGCTCTGGGGTAGTTTGGGGCCACAATAGGGAATCCAAAATCTCACCCAAAAAATCAAAAAGGTTCTTCTGAAAAACAACTGGACCATTTAAGCTGAAGCTCATGTGACCTAAGGTATTGTAGATTCTAATTTCTTCATATCATGACCCCCGAGAGTAGGTTGGGGCCACAATAAATATTACAAGAGGGAGAATCTAGTGAGGATCTAATGAGAGGCATCCCTCAATCAAAATTTTATTCAAACAATAATATATTTCTGGTTCAAAACATTGAATAATTGAATACTTTCAATGAATGCAAGAAATTCTAATCAATTACTAACCAAGTGTCGCTTAGACTCGAAAGTTAAGAAAAGCGTGTTGTGAGCATCAAGCCAAATTTAACGTGATATTTAACAATTGGAGTACTCAAACACGCGCTCAGTATATTAAACTATGATTTTAGTATAAAGAACAATCAAAGTATACGTTTTATATATTTATGTAATTTTCAAGTATACACAGTTTCTTTTTTCCGCTAGTATATATCTGCAATCTTGATTTTGTTACTTCTTTGTTGTAAGACATATAATGCTCCTAATGTGTTTATATCATAACACTTATTTCAAAATACATGTATAGAGATGATTTTGCTTCATCACTTGATATATATACGAATTACTTTTGTAAAAAAAAAATCATTGGAACTCATTTGGACTGACTGTAGTTCATTACAAGAAAATTAATGATTATTCCCAAGAGAAGCATCATTTTCAATCACTATTTAATTTGCTGTGAATAACAATGAAAAGAGACATCACGTATTTCATAACTCCAATGTCTCTAATGTATAACTCGTGCAGTGGATTAGTTTTTATCAATATGCGCGATATTTTGAGGAATTATATCTCAATATTGTTTCCTTGTAACTCTACTCCAGTTAGGAACGGCTTTAATATTATTTGACAAAAAACCTTCCTGGAACAGAATTTCAATGAAATATATTAATTAAAAGTGCTCTCACAAAAAAAAGCAAAAAAAAAACCTTCTCTTCAGGAGTTTCGGTGTAAATAACGTACACTCCAATTTTTTTTTTTTTACTTGACTTTGTTCTTAAATTTTCTAAGCAATCTTTGGATCCTTTTAAGATGTAAAAAACCCATAATACTTCGTCACTGCGATGCATGATATTTCTTTTTCACATGTTTTCGAACATATAAAGAATTTGAGGATTGATTTATAAGCATATACTAGTACTCTCTCTGTGATTCAATATGCATTAACATGATATCTACAAGATGCTATCTCTTGTACTGTAAGACTTTGTTGATTTCGACAATCGAGACCACAGGCACTTGGAGGCTCCCCCCCCCCCCCCCTTCATTTTTTTCAATCTTTGGTCGACACAGCCTTTTCCTATTTTTTTACTCTAATATGCACCCTTTTGTATCAATAAGCTGTTTTTAAATGTACTCAACGGAAAAAGAAACGCAGAGTAAACTTCTGAGGATATTCAAAAAGTTTTCTTAATATTTTTTACAAAGCATATTAACACATCTTCAATCAATAAGTTGACAGAATTTGAATAATTTTTCCCGATAAATCATTAGTTATGGAAGCCCATTTAACGGTAACCCCAAGAAAGTGAATTGAAAAACTCATAACCTTGTATGCCCCCTCTTGCATCTGTTACAGCCCTAATTCTCCTGTGCATAGAGTTCATTAGGCCATTCAGTGTAACCCTCCTTATAGGAATATTAGGTTACATAAAAAGAGAGAAGTCTTGCAACTCTTTTCTCTTCATTCGCCTTACCTCGCTTAAACTATGAGGGATTATTTATTGAAAGTATAATAAAATATGGAAAATGCATACATCTATAAATTTGTTACAAATCCCTCTTCCTTTTCATATTTCCATTTAATTTTTAATTGTCACCGATTTGTAAATATTTCGATTAAATCACTCACATCTAGGCTAAATGTTGTTGGTGTACATCAGCTTTATGTTTTACAAATTACTGTGTTTGTTTATTGAAGGTCCCTTTGAGGGTTTTTCGCTCATATTGAGACACCATAACTTGCTGGTCGAAGGCTTCAAATTTAGTCCTGTATTCGGCACTTACGGCCTTTGAGCAGTAAGGGATTATTTTCGTGCCAGCACCTACTGCAACACGGGACCGCGGTTTATTCGTTCTCTTTTCAAGGACCGACCTCAACGTCCTGCGATGGGATTCGAACCCACTGCAAGGATCAACATTTTACTCCGCGACTCTAGAGCAATCGCTCTAACCACTGTGCCACGCGGTCGACCTTACAAATTTTTAGCTACAGTATATCTAACTTAAGATAACAATGACTGTTGAATAATATGTAGTGTTCTTTGACAAAATGTTGCTATCAGATTTTATTCATTTGAATTCATTTAAATTCTTACAGCAATATAAA